TGGCAAAGCCGATGCCCTTGTTGGCCCCGGTCACGAGCGCCACGCGGCTGCAGGACGACATGGCCGGGCAGGAGGCTCGTGAAGCACTTGCGTGGAGAGCGGAGCGGGCTGTGGAAGCCCAATGGCTGCGACCAGGGCCCGGGAGGCTCCGAGCATCAGCGCACGTGCTGGACTGGGCGCCAAGGAGCCTCTTGCCCAGTGCGCAGGCGCAGGCGCAGGCACAGGGGCAGGTGCAGTCCTCGCTCCCTCTGGGCGTGGCCCAGGGACCCTCCCACGGGTGCTTGTTAGGTAAACAAGGGCTGCCTGCAGGGTGACAGGTGGGCTGGCCCAAGTCTAAGGCCACTGTCTGCTGGCTCAGCCCGCTGGGCAGTAGAGAATCATTTTGATTGGTTGTGTGGCTACCTTTCAACTGAACCCTATCCTTGGTTCTCCAAGGGTTTTTCCTGGGATTTCCCTAAGCGTTAGAAATGGAACATTTGTACAGACTGCCCTCCTTCCTGGCCCTCTAGCCCCCTGCCCCCTTGTATTTTCTAAAATATATTTTTATTGAAATCAGAGAAGAAGGGAGAGGGAGAGCTAGAAACATCAATGATGAGAGAGAATCATTGATCGGCTGCCTCCTGCACGCCCCCCACTGGGGATGGAGCCCGCAACCCCAGCCACGGTTCTTGACTGGAATTGAACCTGGGACCCTTCAGTCCGCAGGTTAATGCTCTACCCACTGAGCAAAACCGGCTAGGGCTCCCCCCCATATTTTTAAAAATATAGCTTGAAAACAGAAGTCTTTGGAACTGGAATTGTGGAATAAGCTGTGTGAACATGACAAGCACTCACGCGTGTGTTGATTTGTCCTCTAAGTGTGTGAAAGCAAAGCTCTGGCTCATCCCTGGGTGGTTCTTACATGACAGTGGGCAGCTATTCATGTGAATCATCGCAGGGTTACCACCTCTCTAGACCAGCGATTTTCAACCAGTGTGCCACAGTGTGAGACATTTAAAACATACAATACCTATTTATCAGGGGCACTGACCTCTTTTCCCTTAGGTTGTCAAATTAAAAAAGCCTAAATACAAGCATGTCAAACTCAAAGGCTAACACGGGCCAAATAAACAAGGTTTAGGTTTATGAGGGCCGCAAAAAAAACAAACGCCTCAATTTTCATAGAAACGTTGGTTTATTTCGATAGAGACATACTGAACACAAAGGGACGAAGTAAATGAGTAATTGTTAATGAGTATTTGTTGTGCCGCGTGCGGCCCGTGGGCCACATCTTGGCATGCTTGGCCTAAACAACAAGAGCTGACCCGTTGGTGAATCAAAATTATGCTATTGTTTTTGTCAGATCGGCAAAAAATACATATATTTTTGGTGTGTGGCAGAATTTTAGTAATTAGTTTGTGTCCATGAAATGAAAAAAGTTGAAAATCGGTGCCCTAGCCCTAGCCAGTTTGCGTAGCCGCTAGAGCATCAGACTGCAGACTGAACGGTCCCAGGTTCTATTCTGGTCAAAGGCATATGCTTAGTCCCCAGTGGGGGTTGTGTGCAGGGTGCAGCCAATAGATTCTCTCTCATCATTGATGTTTCTATCTCTCTCTCTCTCTCTCCCTTCCTCTCTGAAATCAATAAAAATATATTTTAAAAAATCGGTGCCTTAGTCACTTGCAAGGCCATTTAGTTACCTGTATGCAGATGCTCCAGTGTAGAGGTACCAGGTAGCTTGGTAGCCCTTTCTCATACTCACAATAACTCGTCAGGATGCATCCTCAGAAAGTGGATCCTCAGAAAGTCCATAAATTAGTTGTGATGGAAATGAATTTTCTTCCTATTTAGTACTTACAGCAGAGGAATAGGGGGGTATAAAGCCAAGTTTCATGTCTGTGCTGTCCCTTATGGAAGCTACTAAGCCACAGGTGGCCATTGAAATGTTATTTTAATCACAATGATACAGTTTACATTCAGTTCTTCAGTTGCCCTAGCCACATTCCCAGCGCTCAATAGTGCGGCGCATGTGTTAGTGGCCGCTGTGTGGGACAGTGCAGACATATGCTATTACCAGCACAGCAGCAAGTTCTGCGGGGAAGCAAGCTTTAGGTAGAACCCAATTATATTGCAGTTTCAAAGTAGGTTTGGCAAAAAACCAAAACTCACGATCAGGGAAAGACCTTTACTTTTTTTGACTGAAACTTTCGTGGTGATAATTGTAGGTTCATGTGCAGTAGTAACAAATAATACAGACATTCCTTACATTTCCCCTCTGTTTTCCTCAATCGTAACATTTTGGAAAACTATAGTACAGCCTGTCCAGGTAGCTCAGTTGGTTAGAGCATCCTCCCATATGCCAAGTTGTGGGTTCAATCCGCCCTTAGTGCCGGAAGCCAGTTCCAGCATGTCATAATTGCAAGAGTTTCATCAAAAGGTTGATGGAACTTGGGGACTCAACAAGGGCTGAGTCACATATGTTGTCCTGAATCATCTGGAGTGGTAAAGGCATTTCCCCAACCCTGAAAAGGATGATTGCTTGCTGCCAGACAGCTCAGAGCATCTTAATCTACATGTTATTGACTCCTACTGGCCAAACACCTGAACAGCCATAGGCAAATTCTTCCATTCTGACAATGCTTGTGTATATGGAAACCCTTCCCTTTGAAGTGTATATCTCCACCTCGCCTTAGGACAAATTGTGTTAATAAAAAGCAAGGGGTCCTGAGACTAAGGAGATCTTAGTTTCTTTAGGTAGGCTTCTCTGACCCCCAAATGCCTTATGTTTCATCTCTGGACTCTTATTTAAGTTACACACAGCCCTTCTCCAGATTGCTGAACCCTTCTAGATGCTGGAACAAGAACCCTGGCACCTTAGGGCACATACAAGACTCAACCAACGACTGCATCAGTAAGTGGAACAACAAATGGATGTCTCTCTCTCTCTCTCTCTCTCTCTCTCGTCAATAAATAAATAAAAATTAAAAAACTTATAGGACAATGTCACAATCAGAATATTGACACTCACACAATCCACCCACCAATCATATTCAAATGTCCTCAGTTTTACTTGCACTTGTGTTTGTGAATGTATTTGGAGCTATACAACTTTATCACTTCTGCGGGTTTGTATATCCACTACTATTGTTAAGATATAAAACATTTCCATCAGCGCAAGCATCTCTCCTATTGCTCATTTTTAACCAAATGTACTATCTCTTGCCCATGACCCCCAACCCGATCTCTTGGCAACCACTAATCTCATCTCCATTTCCAAAATTTTACTGTTTCAAAATGTTACATAGATGGAGTCATACAGTATGTATTTAGGATTTTTATTTTCATTGAGGATAATTTAAGAGCTTTGTTTTGGATTTTCTCCCTTATCCAAATACTAGTGGCCTGGTGCATGGATTCATGCACATTGAAAGGAAATTAATTAGAATAAATATTTTAATATGAATGTCAACAAAAACAACCAAATTCATGATCGACAATGACAGATCAAAACACGCGTGCGATTGGCACCAGCGAGAGCTTTATATGTATGGTGCATGGGTGAGTCAATATTTATTTTTAAATTGCCAGTGTGTGTCATAGATACCAGTCAGTGGGTTGGTCAGATGGTTGGACGGATGTATGGTCAGTCATTTAGCCTTTTTTTTTTTTTAAAATATATTTTATTGATTTTTTACAAAGAGGAAGGAAGAGAGATAGAGAGTCAGAAACATCGATGAGAGAGAAACATCGATCAGCTGCCTCCTGCACATCTCCTACTGGGGATGTGCCCGCAACCCAGGTACATGCCCTTGACCGGAATCGAACCTGGGACCTTTCAGTCCGCAGGCCGACGCTCTATCCACTGAGCCAAACCGGTTTCGGCAATTTAGCCTTTTATATAGATAGGCTTGGTCTGTCACTTGCTGGACTCTTTCCACACCACTGTTTACTTTCTTCTATAGCTGGGGTGAGCCAGTGTTAGAAGGAAGGAAGGAAGGGGATGGGTCAAATTTACTAAGAGGGCCACTCAGCGATAGCACATGGTGTGTAGGGAACTTTGGTGAGAGGCCTGCTGTTTCAAAAGGCGTATTCTAAGAGGGCATGAATCATGATTTTCAGCCTGATTTGTTTATCATTTTGGTACTGGTAGCAACACAAGAACCGACAGGTCAGTAGGGCAAGATCCTCCAGAAAATACAATATATAAAACATCATGTAGTAATGAGAATGTAGCATAGGATGTAAGTGGCGTTAAGAATTAATGGGAGAAAGGAAGAATTATTCCAAAAATGGTACTGGGGAAAGGGAATAATGATTGGCAAGAAAAAAAAAAAAGATATGTACAACAAACATCAATTAATTTTCTAAAGAGAGAAAAAGTATTTTCTCACTTTCTAAATTAGTTTTATTTATAATACCACAAAACAAGTATGAGAAAACTCAAGTAAAATGTATATTTTTCCATATGGGAAAAGGACTTTGTAAGCCTGGGAGCAGGAAGAATCACAAAGGGAAGTACTGACAGATTGGACTATGGGAACCTTTTTGAAAATGTACTCTGAAAAGTATGCTAATGTAAAGCCAGCGAATTAAGCTCTATTTGGATGATTTTGAATCTTTTTTTGCTGTGTCAAATTTGTGTCTTGATCCGGGTGGCGTGTTTGAGCCCCTCCCACTCCCCATACATAGCACCTTGTCTGGGTTCTGAACATCCCCGATTTCTGTTATTACTGCTGTTGGCCAGTTGGTGACCCTTAAGTTGTGAGAGTCAAGTCTGAGATCATCCTGGCTGCTATATGGAAAAAGAATTTTATCACATCCCATCTGTTAACTTGTGGAATGAACTCCCATCTTTACCACCCACTGGTTAGCAGTAGTTATTTCATTTGTCCTAAAGTACACAGTTCCATGGTGTCTGGATGTTGGGAAACAGTATCCTATATAATAAAAGGGTAATATGCAAATTGACCCTAATGGTGGAATGACCAGAATGACTGCTCACCAGTCTCTATGAGGTGCACTGACCACCTCTTGGTCCCTTTTCCCAGCTGGCAGGCTCTGATCTCCCAATGGTGAACAGGGAACTGGGGGTTGGTGGTGGCGGGGGGCGGGGCTGGCTGCGGGCAGTGGGGAAGATGGCCCTGATTGCAGGCCAGGCCTAGGGACCGTACCGTGCACGAATTACATTGTTATATAAATTATTATGCTCCCAGGGTCTTCCCTTGCACGGGCTTACTTACTCTCATAAAACTCAGCTTGACCCTGGCTTTGCTTCTTACCCTGCTTGTTTGGGGTGGTCAGTAGGTCTTCCTACAGGGTACAGCATGGACTTTGAGTCGGGGAATCACTTTGTGGCTGAGCTGTTTAGTAGATAACTAACTAAAAACAATTGACTTGATTCTGTCAAAGATAAAGCTGGATACTCAAGGGGTAAGGCAGATTTGAACCAGTAATATACTATTGCAATAGGGAAGAGGGTCCAGCATGAACTGAACTCAACGGGGCATTTTAAAGGGAGAGTGAGGGAGTGGGGTGGGGGACCAGCGGGGCTTGAGTCAGGGAAGTGAAACATTCCTATGAATGTAAACGCTGATTAGGGCAGCTGTGTGGCTACACAGAGACTGGGAGACAGAGGCTCTATCCTTTCTGATAATTACATTTCAAAGGAATGGCTTTGAGGTCCTTGAGAAAGACACTCCTGAGTTGTAGGAGGTACATAATATCACCCACACACTGAAGGAGGATTCTCACAGTGTGAGCCTTTTCAGTCAATGCTCTAGGAAGGGTGGGAAAGGGCCCGCCATCAAGTGTTACCTAGAACAAAGAGTAAATTCCTCTGGCCGCCTTGAGCTCCTTAAGGGGAGCAGGCCATTCTGGGGAAGTAGCCTGGAGCTGTTAGGAACAATGTTAGTGTTTGCTTAAGTCTTTAATGTGGAAGGGGTGGAGTCCATGAAATCACTCGTGCTGAGTCTGCAGATTGTGTAAGTAAAGGTTGACGACCCATTGAGATGAAGGCTTAGTTTGGTCAAGGAAAAGGGGAGATACATTATCTTCCTTCCTCATAAAAAATAAAAACAAAAAACCAAAACCAAAAAGTTTCGTTTGCTCCTTTTCTTCCTGTCTTGAATGTATTGTGTGAGTGTGTGATGACTGGAGCTGCAGCAACTATCTTGGGACCACGAGGAAGCAAACTAAAAGGTCAATAGCCAGCTCCCTAAGAAGGGTATTGTGTGGAAAATTAGAAAAAGCGTTGATTTTTGATGACATCACTGACTCTTGGGTCCAAATCTGGGACCATCAATTTCCAGCCCCACCTCCTATCCTTTTCAGTAAACTTTAAATTTTAGAATAGATGTACAGTGGGGCCTTGACTTACGAGTTTAATTCGTTCTGAGACCGAGCTCGTTAAGGAGCTCGTTAACTCAAATTACTCTATCAACTCAATGCAAAAAATCGGCGGAGAGACAGCTGGTATCTCAAAAAACTCGTTAGTCGGGACACTCGTAAGTCAAGGCCCCACTGTATTGAAAAGTTGGAAATGTAGTACAGAGAATGCCGATATATCCCTCATCAAATTTCCCCAACTATTAACCACCTTACTATGATGGCTCATTTGTCACAAGTCAGAAACTACCATTGGAACAGTAGTAACAACTGAGCTCCATGCTTTATTTGAATTTTACTAGTTCCCCGCCCCCCCCACCCCCATGCCCTTTTTCTATTTCAGGATTCCCTACAGAATATCACATTGCATTATCTGTCTTCTCACCTTAGTTTCCTCTGGTCTATGACAGATTCTCAGTTTACTGGTGTTTCGTGACCTCTGACACAGTTTAGGAGTACTGTTCAGGTGCTTTGGGGGTTGTCTGATGTTCTTCTCAAGGAAGAACGTGGTTATAGGATTTGGGGGAGGAAGACCACAGGAGTGAAGTGCCCTCCCTACACCCTGGCATGCTATCACCATAATTCATCACTGACTATGTTAACCCTCAGCACCTGGCCGGGCATGGCCTGCCAGGTTTCTCCACTGTACACTTACTTTTCCCTGCTCTCCATACTGCACTGTACACTTGGAAGCAAGTCACTAAGCCTATCCCACAATCCAGTGGCGATGGGGGTCGGGGGGCAGAAATTGAGCTCCACCTCCGCCCAGGGAGGAGTATTTACTTAAAACAGTGGTTCTCAACCTGAGGGTCGCGACCCCTCTGGGGGTCGAACGACCCTTTCACAGGGGTCGCCTAAGGCCATCGGAAAACACATATATAATTACATTTTGTTTTTGTGATTAATCACTATGCTTTAATTATGTTCAATTTGTAACAATGAAAGTACATCCTGCATATCAGATATTTACATTACAGTTCATAACAGTAGCAAAATTACAGTTATGAAGTAGCAACGAAAATAATTTTATGGTTGGGGGGCACCACAACATGAGGAACTGTATTAAAGGGTCGAGGCATTAGGAAGGTTGAGAACCACTGACTTAAAAGATATGGACTTCTGCCCTAACCGGTTTGGCTCAGTGGATAGAGCGTCGGCCTGCGGACTAAAGGGTCCCAGGTTCCATTCCGGTCAAGGGCATGTACCTTGGTTGCGGGCACATCCCCAGTAGGGGGTGTGC